AATTTTTGTCTTTATTTAAATTAATTTAAATCTACTGTCGATTGAAGCAAATGATATGCTCTGAGAATTAATTTCGCATTCAATTCATTTAATTATTTGATCTTTTACTTCATTTTTATTATTATATTACAATTAATTTGTTTTGATTTCAAACATGAGTTTATGCCATCGCATAAGCGCTTGCATTCAATGCGTTTGATATTTACCATAATTATTANTTAATTTCGCATTCAATTCATTTAATTATTTGATCTTTTACTTCATTTTTATTATTATATTACAATTAATTTGTTTTGATTTCAAACATGAGTTTATGCCATCGCATAAGCGCTTGCATTCAATGCGTTTGATATTTACCATAATTATTATTAATTATTAGCTGTATTCCCATTTAGTATACAATCAATAAGTACTTCAATCAAAAGGATAAGTCTCTATAAACCTAATCTATTAATCAATTTTTATTTCAGTCATAATTATTATTTTTGAATTTATAAACATTTACCTTATTTCCTCATTTAGTTTTTCCTTCATTCAAGCTTCGAATGGATTTAATTGTAATTTGAATTATTTGTTTATACCAATTGTACTATTGTTTTGTCCATTTTATCTTATACAGTATTTAGATTGTGTAATAGATTATGAATTATTTTTTGTTTAATAAACGATAATTATTTGTCCGTAAATAATCTATTTATTGATTTATTAATAAAATTTTTAAACAAAACTTTGTGTCAAAACTAACAGCAATATAAAGTGTTTATAAGATTTGAAGCTCACCACCACTTCTAATGGCATTCGCTTTCTTAATATACATTTTCTAAACACTATTTTTGATATAAATTTAATAATAAATTCTAATTTATATAACATTTTCAATATTGGTTTTTGAATGCTTTTTACACAACTTTAAGGCACTTGAAGTGAAAGGAGGTATGAATTAATGAAATGTAAATCTTATCAATTGATGGGTGACTCCCGAAGCGCTTCCAGTTCTCGTCGATGTAATTCCATTCGACTTCTTCTACTCTTCCTTTGATGCAGTTTTTGCTTCAATCCCTGACTCATCCGCACCTGATTCAGGCGCTGAGCCTTCTGGAACTCTTGGATCTCTCTTCGGTGTTGACTTCGGATTTGTTCAATTTTGCCTTTAATTTGCCACAAAATTACATTATTTTCGCTCTTTTATTCATTCAATAATAAACAATATATATTTAATTTATACCAAATATCTCCCCATCGGAGGGAATGGGCGCCAGATCTGCGGTTGGAAGCGGTGTCGGCATAATCAGTGGCATCCGTGTCGGGTCAGGCGTTAATGATTTGGCGCCGCCTTTGCGTTCACTGTTTCCCGATTCAAATATCTGTGCGATCTGTTCGTCAGCGGCGGCCGAGTCGTCGAGTTCGCTGTCGACACCACTGTCTGCACGCGTCAGACAATTAATTGATTAATTTTACGCAAAAGTCAATCGACAAACAGTAAGTGAAGGCAAACCTCTGAACTCAAGCGGAGTCTCTTCGTGGTAATCGACATCATTTCCAGTCATCTCTTTAATCCGTTTCCTTATAAGTCGGGTGCGTTCGGCGCGCAGTTCCGATGCCCTGGCCTTACATTCTTCGGTCAATTCGTGTAAGTCTTTAGCGATGGTGGAGTTGAGGACCTGTTCCAACCACTGGCGCAGAGCACCCGCTCTCTTATACGTGGTTTGGTAGCAGTTGAGGGCGTGTTTGTGTCGTTCGGGTGTTTGCATATCAGTGAATATGTACGAAATGGCTTTGTTCAGCGTCTCGACCTCGTCGGGCGCGCAATACGGCAGACTTATGTTAGGCAGATATCGTTGCGCACCCGCTATGTTCTGACTCGCGGCCACCAAATTGTCGCGCGCGTCGGCCACGCATTCATATCTTTGTTCGCTTTCTCTGTTTTGTTTGAAATTTGATTAACATTTTGTGCATTATTTCACATAAAATGATGATTCACTCACTGGACGGGTATCTCAAGTAATTCTTTCCACTTTTGTAGTCCGCGACCCAACTGCCCGTTCGCCTGTTTGACGAGTGTCTTGGCCTGTTTCCACCTGAAGTGAGCTTGGTCAACGTGATGCTTTTGCTCCAACAACCAGTCCAACTCTTTTTCCAATTGGTTCTCAGTATCGCTGGCGTATTGGCCCTCAAATATGGCATCTTTGGTTGAATTGACAACAATGTGAACACAATGTCTAAACATAACGTTTCAATTAAATCAAACCCAAAAGTTCGTCTCGTTTTGCGTAATAGAGTTGCAGTTTTTCGCCCTCAATCACCGACTGTTGGACTTCGAGTTTGATATTATTTTGTTGCTGTGAAGTCGTCTCCAACTCTTTCTCCGCCACTTCCTATTTGTATGAAATTCCGTTTTTTAAGACAATATTTTTGATACAAACATATTTTACTTACCAATCGATTGAGTGAATCGATTAGCTTTTCTTCATCCGGAGTGAGAGAGTCATCCGATTGTGTCTTTTGAAGAACATATTCTTTGATAGACTTCAAGTCAATGATTCCCATTTGATTCTGGATCTCATTCCTGTTATTGACAAATTCATATACTTTTAAGTTTTTAAAATAAGTTATAAATGGATTTAATCGTACGATTGCTGTCCGTATAGTTTCTTATCTCTTTCCAATTGTTTGACGGCTTCGTCTAATTGTTCCAATTGTTCGCTTTTGATCTGATAGTTCTCTAAGACGTGCTTCTTCTCGAAGTCATTGATGGCATACTCTAACTGCAAGTATTCATTCAACGCCTCTTCGTTTATTTCAATCTAAACACAAAACGTTGTTTTCAATATTTGTTTGCATTTAAACATTCAATTTATTGATTTTGTTTTTCTTATTTTATTACTCGAAAAACGTTTTCAAATTATGGGCAAAATAAAGGAATTTGTAAATGTATTGAATTTATAGATATTTAAATTATATCAAATCCATAATGTTTATACATACGGTTAATTTTGGATTTTATTTATTCTGTATTCTTACTATTTGTTTAATTAGTAATTTATTGAAATATTGACTTTATGTGAGTCTTAGTTTGTGATCAATTGTTCACATCTTTATGTGCAATAGTTTTGTAATAAATCGATTGCTTTTACATTGAATATAATAATAGGTCTGTATTATAGACTATAATATATTCAATCGATTTCTTTATTAACGCAAGAATTGAAAGATTATAAATGTATACAAAAGATTTCAATCTTAGAGTTTTATGAATACTTTTAGTGCAATTCTGTAACAGAATTTACATTTTAACTTTTATTAATTTACTTTTCTATTGTAAACAACTCGTGATTAATAAGATATTATATTTTATACATATAAATAGATATACTGTCAAATATAATTAGTAAATAAATATAAGAACTTGTGATACATAAGAAATACATGTAATTCTACTAGAATAATTAATTAATAAATAATTAATATTTTATGTATTACTTAAGCACTAATTGTTAATGTAATTGTTATAACCACTACTTAATTACAAATGTAATTGTAATGAATAACTTACGGGCTTTCGGTTGTGATTCCCGGTTCCCCTACCGTTGTGTCGATTTCGGGCATGACTTTCATTCTTGTGATGAATAGCTGTGGAACTACTGCCACAACCCATAGAGTAATTGTGCGGTTATTTAGCTATCCTTTTGCTCGATATATAAAGTTTATAAAAAAAAGTTAAAACCTTTCAAATTTAATCACAATATAATTGAAATAAATAAATCATATTATGATTTTGAATTTTATGTAATATTCATTTCTTCAGTTCACAAGTGGTTCACAAGAGATGACGACCGGAAAAGTGAATTTGTTTTTAATAACTTAAGTGTTTCTATGGAAATACGAATGAATAGATCGATATATTCTGTGTTTTTATTATTAATCTCAGATTTAATAGCAATATTTGCTAATCACTACTACTTCGTGGTAAATGTTTTGTTTTTAATAACTTAAGTGTTTCTATGGAAATACGAATGAATAGATCGATATATTCTGTGTTTTTATTATTAATCTCAGATTTAATAGCAATATTTGCTAATCACTACTACTTCGTGGTAAATGCAATACAATGTATTGGGTGGACAACAATCAACCGTTTGTTTGCACAAAATTTTTATGAATATTTGCGTTCATTGTTTTATATACATCTATATATTCAACCGATTCTCATAACAATTATAACATTTTTATACCAATGCATAACGATTACAATGTTTTTTTTGTCACATAATGTATATACAGTATTAATTGATTATTTCATTGCTCTAAATATTTCCATCAAAATTTGCATTTCCTATGAATTTTAATTTTTTACATTTAATGACTCGTTCACTGAATTATTATGTAATCCACTCACAGATAGACCACTCGTGAGCTCTACTTTTATGCTAAATATTTGTTATCCAATTTTAAGCACACAATAGTTTTAATGTATTTATAATATTATTAAAATTTTTCTATATTTCATGACAACTATACAATTCATTACAAATTGTCTGCAATTATTTTAATCAATATTTAAAAATCAATATATTTATATTATTTGCATTTTGGCGTAAGAATAAGATTTAATTCAAGAATTCTACAAAACTGTACAAATATTTATAAATTTATTTTTAATATTTTAACACAACTACACTTGTAAAGTAGAGTAAAATTATTTTTTCCAAATTATGTAAACATTTCTTTAATACAATTTTATATAAAGATATTTATAGTTAAAGTGTTTATTTGTTTAATAAATACAGTATTAATAATAACATTTTATTTTGGTTATTACTAATAACTTATATCACAATATTCTTTAATTTGTAGTTAAATTGGTTGTATAATATTTGTAGCAAGGTGGGGTTATTTATTCAAATATTTTTTATTCTTTCTGTGTCATTTTAGAATTCTATAATTCCTTTACGTCATTGAATTATAAGAATTTTTCAAAAAATATCAATAAAAATAACAATTTATTTCTATGGGACAATCTATGGATAACAGTAATTCAAATATCTCCAGTTCAGTCGTTCACCTCATTTAGTTTTGTCGTATATCAATAGTCGACACAAAAAATATACTTTAAAATACTTTAATATACTTTTAAAAATTGTTTTCTGAAAAATGATTTAATTTTTTAAAACTCCAATTCTGATGCTTAAAGAATGTACTTAAATATTAAACTAATTTCATTATTCTACTTGAATGTGTAGTACTTGGTTCTCTCAGGTTTCCAATTGACCTTATTCAGAGCGGTTATTTATAAACTTGACCATTACAAAGTCGAAGATATCAAAAAGTATTCGGTCTAGAAATTCATATGGTATAATATACATTATATACCAAAATGGTATTGTATATTACCAAAATGGTCATCAATTGCGGAGTTTCTAGTATGATATGACAATATTCTTAACTTTCAATTCTAGAAGTAAATCTCAAAACAGACATAATGTTAAATTCAAACTTATTTTTGAGCAAAACCCCGACATGTCTCAAGTTATTTGTGCTCCCGTTTAAGAATCTAGTCAAAATTCTTGTGCCGCATCACAGCCTGCATGTAGTTTTTGATTAATTAATGATTTCTCAATATTTAAGATTTATATGATTTCAAAACACTTTCCAACAAATCTTCTATAATACAAAAACTACTTACATTACAAAGATTGTGCTTTTACCGAACCATCCTATAAATAGAGATGTTAGTTGTGACATTTTGGGTACGTTTAAGGGTCTCGCTCAACATTTAGGCTAAATTTTCAATCACTCTATATTAGTGTATACAGTAATATGTATATTGAACATATTTTGTACATAAATCACTAATTTCTGTAACACAATGACAAACCATTATGCTCATGAAATAAAAATAATACCAGGATGTTATTATGTAAATCTATACAGCATACAATAACAAAAAATGTAAAAATTATTTTTATAAGTCAAAACATATTGTAACTGGATCATATTATAGTACAAAAATTCAAAATCAATTTGTGAGATAACCAAACAAGATATTTTAAAAATTCCAACGGATTCATGAATTGAATGTGAAGCAGTATAAATATTATAAGAATGTTTTCATTAAAAATTAATTTTAACAATCAAAAATCACAATTAAATTACAAAATGCTCGAAATGAGTTCCTTGCCAAGGCATTACATATATCAATATACTGTATATATAATTTGAAAGATATTTTAAAATTATACAATGATATGCAAAGAAACTTTATGTAATACCTTGGCTTCATGGTAATTTTGAGAATTTTGTAATTTATGGTGAGTAAAATTAGTTTTAAATGAAAATATTTTTTAAACATGTATAGTACTTTACTTTCAATTAATAATTCCGTTGGAATTTTTTGAATATCATGTTTAGTTATCTTGCAAATTGATTTTGAATTTTGGCAAATTTCTGACAATATCTAAAAAAAATTCTTGACTTAATATAATAATTTTTGTATATTTATTCTTCATTATTAATGCTTTTGTGACGGTTCTTGTATTGATGAGTGGTGTTCAGAGAGGGCGCGCGTGTAGTTGTCTATGTATCGATTTTCGAGAAGCGAATACCTTCGATTTCGATGAAAGTTGTTT